TCTTCTTCATCTGATCTCGTGATTTGGATAATTTTCGCTCGATACCAATGACTGTCTTTGGTGTATCGTGCCAAAATAATGTCATTTATTTGTAATTGTTCCGTCTTATTTCTCTGATCTGGTGTTATTTCCAAGTCATTCCAGAAGAAAACGTCGTTATTTTCATTCGAAGTATCGTCAACGACACCATAAAATTGCACTGGACTCAAGACGTGTGTTATAGTCACTTTCATAACGTCTTTATTTTCCAAACTATTGAGTTTTTCCGACGGACTTTTGATTTCACCATAAACAACAGATCTAGGCCATGACATGGTGCCCATTTCATCAGCCTCATCTGCATAATCCTCAAACAACTGAGAATCAAGAAAGGGATTACTACCACACTTATTCTTCTTGGGTGTTGAATATTCTTTGGAAATGTTACTATTTTTGTCCCCCTTTTCTTTGTCTTCAATGTCTTTATCAGTTATTAAAATTACTTGCAGTGTAGTTGAATCGTGAGACACTACTTTTAGGTTTGCCATTTTGTATTCCGCAGCAATTAATGCTTTCTTGCACTTTACATGATCATTTATAATCAAATCTTCCGTCGATTCCGATATTCCTCTTAGAATACATCGTATTGCCAAAGGTGGAATATTTGCAAATTTATGCGGGATGGCAAATAACTGATATTCATCAGTTAATGTAATAACTTCTCCAAAATCTATCAGTAAAACGGAATCAAGATCTTTGCGAAACTCCGACGGCAAGCGCACAGCTCGCCACACACATTTCTTGTTAATCTCCGCACATTTGATTTTTTGTGATACAAGAAATAATTTATTTGCGTCATAAAGACTGTAAATAGGCTCCAAATTGTCACTGCAACTTATTTCAAATAAAGTCTTGCAGTCCTTCAACTCGCAAACGTAAAAAATTAAATCATTGCGTTCCTTGACATGGGTAACAGATGCCGAGAAAATATACCCTCTTTCGAAATGCCCAATATTCTTTTTGGGTAAAAATGATTCCAAATATTCATGAATATCTAAAAATGTACGAGGATCTCCTGTTTGAATTATCTTATTTTCCGGCAAAACTCCAACAAAATCTTGTTTTGCCTTATTACGCTCCGGAGATGATTCTATAGCTTTTTGTCCTGAAATAACAAAGGTCGTATCGGCATCATCCTCCGCCACATGGTTCCGCCCCAGTTTTGACCATTGAAGAAAGTCTTGGATTAATCGGGTTTTCGTGCAACAGCCAATTTGGGTTGCCTCGAAATCTCCTAAGAGTGCTGATTCCGGTAATTCGTTAAATTCGAAATGGATATTAAATTTGCGTGCCAAATTGAGGACCGTGGTTAATTGCGCCATATATCTATCGAAGGCTATATATGTGAACATATTGCCCTTGATGTCTGTGCCGCTGTTTACTCCATTGCTGAGTAACTTTTGTGTATGCTCACTGGTTGCCAGGAATCGTTCCATATTTGCCAGCAATTTCTGTAGTTCTTTTTCGCACATATCGTGCATAATGCTCATTTGTTCGGCACCCGCCTGGCTCATTTTAAGAAATCCAGTAATATGTTTATGCTTTATTAATCTATGATCCGAAAATTTTATTCCACTTGAATTAAATTCAGAGGTACCGTTATTTTACGCACGCATAGGGATATGTACGTCGATTTTAGCCAGAATGAAAAATGACCGACCTAATCTAAAAACGTTTCAAATGTTGTGAATAGGGCAGACGGAAGAGAATTGGTCTGTTCCCGTACTGCAATTTTCTACGAATAAAAATAGTAAATCCTTGTACGCCGGGAACAAAGCAAAGGACAGATATATAGACGCTAGTTAGAATCAAAGGGAAAAAGGCAAATTGCATTATGTAGATAACAAAATTTACACACGTGTTCAGTGGCAATAAGTAGGGGAGAGGGGGCACCTTTGAACACTTTTTTCTTTCAAGCCTTATAAATTTTTTTATTTTTTGGTTCGTTATAAATTTTAACTAATAGGTACATATGTAACCTTTAAAATGAATATACATATGACATACATTAAGATTGATAAATATATTTTATTATTGTTTTATTGGACGAAGTCAATAAAGTTTTCAAAACATACAAAGTCCATTTGAAATTTTGAGAAATCGAAACCAAAAGTTAAAAACTCCGTTTTTTGCTGGAGTTTTTGGGCATGTTCAAAGGTGCCCCACCTGTGGCATTTGAAGGAAATTTATAAAATTTTTTTTTGTAGGAAATATATATGAAAAAAAATACATTAGTTATGTTTGAAATTATTGTTGGGATGCCAAAAAAAAAAAAAACGATCACCGAATTCTCTCTGCGCCCTTAAACCTAAAACTTAAAAGTTTACAATAGCACTGCGAAAATATGGTCACCCATGTACATTTTGTCGACAACTCAAAAAGATAGTAAAAGTGGTTTACGCAGATAAAGAACAAGATTGTCATATACAAAAATGTGGTTACGGGTCGGAAAAATGTTAAACCGAGATTTAAAGAGCGCTGTTCAAAGGTGCTCAACGTTCAAAGGTGCCCCTCTCCCCAACAACATTTTTAATATCTTGAAGATCCCAGCCTCTATAATCTATAAATATAATTTGTAACATATATAGTTATATCTTAAAAATAATATTAATTACAAAATTTAGATATTTATTTACGTCCCAATTTAGATTACGCGAGTTTACTTGCGGCAAGCCTTTGTTTGCGGGAGAGAGGGGCAAGGGGAACAGAAATGGAAAAACTTGCTCGTACCGAAAATTTTAAAATAAATAAAATTTTATGGAACTTATTTTTCAAACAATTTGAAATTGATAGATGAGTTTCAAATTAAAAAGGGTTGCCATTATTAAGACTACCTTCTGTAATTATGCCATGAGGTCAGATATTACAAATGAGGGCATAGACGAAATGACTTAATGACGCTAATTAGAATCAAATGGAAAGAAAAGCATATTGCATTATGTATATAAAAAAATGTACATCCTTCTGCATATATTAAAAAGACAATTTTTTTTTAATTTTCATCATTTTCGAATTTCCTAAAAATTTTTGGTTATTCAGAGAATGATTCGAATTTAACAAAATATAAAAGTCTGTGTTTGAAAGGGGAACTAAAAATACATTTACATATACGATTTTAAATCGACTCGATTAACGAAATCCAGAAATACACCCTAGGTGTTTACACATCCCTTTAATAATGATCTAAATGTCAATCAGCTGATGTTTGTTAGTATACATACAAAATTATTAATTTGCGCCAAAAATATTTGTTTGCAATTTGAAAATAGAAAGAAAAATTACAAAAATGGAGATGTTTTTGCAATACTGTGATCATTTGGAAAGTAAAAAAATTAACTAAAATCACAAAAATTCTATAAATAATTTTTATTTTCTTTTGATCTTTCATTTTTGTGTTTGGCAACCGTTAAATTTAAAAACAAACAACATATGAAAACAATTGCAAATTTTGGTACATTGTGAGAGAGTTGTATTTTTTTCGTACGAAAACCGCGTTGCATCTTAGTAGTATCATGATTTCGATCATGATTTAAAATAAACCCTGCCGCACAATGATTTAATTTTGTATGGTAAATCATGGTAAATTCAGCCTGATTAAGAAAATATACCCTGATTCAGTCTTTAATCATGATTAGATGTTATATGTAAATCCGCTTTAAGTAACTACTTCATAATTAATGGCCGAATCATGGTACAATTAGCAATTTACAAATTACATTTTTTTTCATATTGTGGGTTGTTATGCCAAAGTCATTCACAAAATGTGTGACTCTGTATGTAATGTTTCGAAAAATATATTCTAAAAACCGTTTGTTTAAAAATGAATTTTACAACATTAGTAAGAAGAAATTTTTGTATTGTAAATGAGTATATAACTCCAAAAAAAATCTGATTTTCATTATTCGTTTTTTCGTAAATGTTAAAAATTATTTGTTCCAAAATCATTTTTTAGAAGAGGTGAGTAAAAAAATTCTCGAAAAATGTTATGTATTTTTGATTTAATGGTGAGAAATTTATTGTGCTTGCCCGATGAATGACAAAATTAGGGCAAGGGTGTCATTCAAAAGTGCTAGTGTGTACACCACATAAAAATACATTTATTTATCGAAATAAAAAAAATATATTTTATTATCCCATCGGCATGGTATAAGAATAGAATGTAACAGCAAGTGTTGTTGTACAACAAACGATACAACAACCACATGGAAATTTGTTTTTGTAAGTAATACTAGTGTCAACGTCATTTGACTGAAAAATGTAAACAAACATACAAATTATCAAAAAAAAAAAACTTATTTATTTGAAAAATGTAATATTTTCGAATTTTTCAAATAAAATTGAAAAACATGAATGAAAATCTATCAAATTTATATTTCTCTCGCTCACACATCTTTCCTCTAATTGAGCCATTGCAACTTATATGAGTTTCACATATGAAAATGCTGGGAATTGTGAGTTATTCAAAGAAGAAAGATTTGCTTCCTCAAACTTTCCCAGCAGGCAGATTGAGTAATTTGAGTACCGGAGGGCATTAATAAAGAACAATTTCGAATTTTATGCTACCCAATTTTCCTGTTGGGTAATTTTTAAAAAAATAATTTGTCAAATTCATATTGACACTAGTATAACGTTGGAATCAAATCAGCTGGGATTTGCTGTTACCTTTTATAATTGTACCATGTCCAATCGGTCACAAAAAAACTTATCGATTAGCCAATTTGACGATTTATAGATCCCTACATTCACCCCATCTTCACCACACCAAAGTTTTTTTCAGTCGTTCTCGTTCTAGTCAAAGAAAATCTAAAACTATTAATAATCTGGAGGAAATTGTTAATTAAAAAAGTGCGGATAACCAAATTAACACAAACAACTTGTGAATGAATGTGTGAAGTGGAGCTGCAATAACCTAATAACACACAGAGCAACAACAACAGCACAAGTGGAACAAATTCTTAAATAAAGATGACACTGAAAAAGGAATTACGTCTACTGGCTAAACCCTATTATTGGGTAAACATAATAATATCGCTATCATATTTAATATCCAAAAAGACAATACCCATCTGTTCAAGGATTTTCCGACATCGAGATGAAGAGATGTGCGAATTGGATAGCCGAGAAACGGAAATTCTTTTCTTTCTGCTCATCATCATAATGATTCGATCGAGGAAAACGGGCAGTGTGACAATGGTCAATTACTTGTCCTCGTCGTTTTTGTACACCAAAGTAGCAAATGGCATTTTGTGGGCCTACAGTGATTTCCGCTATGGCCTTGGGTTCTTATTGATATGTGTGTTGGTTGGCATGCTGTTGCCAGAACCCACATACAAGGGACCCGAACACATTACCTACTTCCGTACAGCCCAAGCTTTCGAGGATGAGTTGGCTCGCGATAAACGCATCAACTGGCTTATTTGTTTCTACACCGTATGGAATCCAAGCTGTGTCAATTTTGCCCCAGTGTTTGCTGAATTATCGGCTGAATATAATCTGGATAACTTGAAATTCGGTAAAATCGATATTGGACGTTTCCCCGAAACTGCACAAAAGTATCACATATCCGACAGCAGCTTCTCCCGTCAATTGCCAACAGTTATTCTCTTCCAAAATGGCAAGGAGGTGGAGAGACGTCCTATGGCCGATGTCAAGGGCAAATTACAGAAGTTCTTCTTTTCATCGGACAATGTTCGAGCTGCTTTCGGTCTAAATAATCTGTATAAACAGTGTGTGGAGAATCCACTCAAACCTTCCAAGCAACAACAACAAATCTCTGCCAATGCTAAAAAGACTAACTAGATACAACTAGGACAACAAAAAACATACAACATAAATATGAAAATCAGAATATCTGAGTGTGAACAGCGATTTAACACGTCAATACTGTCGTCATAAAATTATTACTGTTGTTGTATACTTGATAAGAAGTTTTTAACAGATTTCTGATTTCAAGTGTAGTATCTAAAAAGAGATACCACCACAAACCCATACCACGATCACCACCATTATAGTCACTTGTTAAGTTAATATATTATTTGTATTAACACTATCGAATAGAACGTGCTTTTCTTTCCGTGTCATTGAGTTGTGTTTTGTTTTTGATTTTGTTTATTTTTAATTTATTTGTATTATGTATTTGTACAAATGGATATTTTTTTAGTAATTTATTTTCAAAAAAATATGCTATTAATAAGAAAAAGAATATGGCTTGCATTTTTAAATTGATGATTTTCTAATGAGATAGCATTTATTTTTTTATAAATATGAATTTATTTATATCATCATTCATTGTTTTTGTTTCTCCACTCTAATCAATAATAAGAATTTAGTCAATTTGTATTTAAAGCAATTTGTTCCTCCGCTGCTGCATTTGTCATTTTTATCTTGCTTTGAATACATTTTTTAGTTTCATTCATAATGTTATTAGGCGCAAATTACTATTTTAATAAAGACAAGAGTTAATAAATTTTATTAAAAAAATAGGAGTTTTTATGTATTTCAGGGGGGAAAAATAGAAAACATTATGGCGAAAATGCCTTTCTGGGATCTTATTGTAGTCGCAAAGGGGTTTCATAGCCTAAAGGCATTTTCCACCCCCAGACAGTGAGTTCCATTTTGTCGCATAGTGTAATTGGAAAACTATTCCGGACTTTAATTATCCGTGCATTTTCTCACTGAACAATTTTTTTATATGTGTATGAAAAATATTTCCAAAATAGTTATTCTGTGACTATTTTGAATTGATATCTAGCTGGTCTCCCTAAAGGCCTTATTTTTAGGCCTTGGTTTGAAGCAAAAATTTAATATATAATTTTATGTATCTTTTGAGATGAGCTACATGATCGAATATGCAATATATAATTATGCGTATATAATTTATTCTGTTAAATTGAATAAAGCAGCATAACACTTAAATGGATCCGGTGCTAGAAAATAGAAGCGTTTTGTCGAACCATTTTTTATGATTTTTAAAGATGAACAGTTCTAGAAACAGATCCAGTTCATACCACGTAATTAATAACGTTGCATTAAATTTAATTAAAAATATGCATACACGTTTATTCGGGATCCCGAATTGTTTCTGCTATACTGAGATCTATTTATGATAAATATTTCAGACAAATTCAAAGCTTCTTCATAATCTCCAATGTATACCATTTTTATCAGTAAACATATGTGGTCTGTTCCCGTACTGCAAGAATCTACTAGATTTTACTATTTTCTTCGATAACATAAAGGAAAATTTGTTATTGGTCTGTTCCCGTACTGCAAGAATCTACTAATGTTTACTATTTTTTCCGATATCATAAAGGAAAATCTGTTATAGTAATAAAAAAATTGTACACTCTTGCTGGTTTTGGAATAGACCAATCGTTTGTTTGAACATAGACCTACGATTATTGATTTTTATTCTTTAAGAACTCTATCTGCGCTATTATGAGGGCAATTTGTAGAATATTTTCATGTGATATTTAATTTACGGTTAAGAAAATAGAAACGAAAAAGACTCATAATAGAAGAAACATACGTTTAAAAATTTTGTTTGGATTTGACAGAAAGCTTGACAAACAAAGACATGATGATTTTATTTCATGCATTGATCATGAACATGATCTATGGCTAATCAGCCCTTCCCCAAAAAGAATTGTCCATCCCCTAAAATATTGATGCTCAATGTTATAAATATGTTTTTAACACAAAACGAAACCAATTTTTCAGTAAGACAACGTTTAATAAATATAATTACAAGCTTTTTTAACCTCAATGTTCTGGTTTTTACAAATCGGAATCTGGCAACCCTAACTGAGGTGGTAGGTTATAGCACGTTTACATTGTACCGGATTTCGTTAACCCAGTGGGTTAAAATTGTCAATTCCATTGTATATATGTCAAATAAATCCTCATAGAGGATGTTAACCTCGCATAAAGTTGTAATGTAAATGCCGTTTAACCCGGTAAAAAGGCTCAATTGTAAATGTCGTTTTACATTCTATTTCTGAAATCATTTGATGCAAATGGTTAATGAATTCATACATGGATCATACAAAATATTATAATAATTAGTAAGGCTAAAACATGTCACAAAACTACAATTTATTTTTTTCTCGGTTTGGTCCGCGCCATCTAGTGCTAACTAGTAAATTATCGATAAATCGATAAAATAACTGCAGCCAACTTCACATCGTGCTGTCAAATTTGCCATCTCAACTTCCTTTGCTCGCGTGCGTTCTTTCCTTTTACATCAATATGGCTGATCAGGTAAGACGCGAAGATAATGTTACGTTTTTTAAGTTTTAAACTATTAAATCGTGGAAAAAATGTGAAAAATACCATGCGAATGAAAAGAACAAAAGAAGAGCTTTAAAATTAGCCAAGATTTGTGATAGAAACCCTATGGAAAACATGAAAAAATGTGAAAAATAAGTTCACTTGTGTGTGTACACGAACGACGACAGCTACCGACCAGCAAACCATGCGGAAGAAATCTGAAATTGAGAAAATTAAAATATCAATGTATGAATTATGATATCGGGACTATGAAAAATATAAGTGAAATTAAAAATGTTTTCTTTATTTAACAAAGTGTTTATATGAATTTCCAAACCATTGAATAAGGAAACATTTAAAGATAACCTTACTTTTTATAATGAAGTTTTAATTCACATTTTTCTGTTGTGTTGGTATAGCAAACAGAACGTGCCTACCGTAAACAGTTCACGGTTCCTGTGATCCGTCGTAAACCGAATAACTTTAAGAAGAAGCCACGTTTCTTTCGTAGCATTGGTCTGGGGTACCGTACTCCAGCTGAGGTGAGAATGCCGAGCAAACTTTACTAATTTCTTGTTTTTTGTTTGTTCTCTTTGCACGTTTTCCCCCAAAACTCTATCCAATCTCCCGTTTGTTGAACACAAAAATACACATCAAACACAACACCCACAAAACACTATGAATGGCCTGGCCTGCTGTTTTGAAAAATAAAAAAATGAATGTGAATGCCAAATTTGAAAATACCTGTGTACACCTGCCCCCGCCCTCCCTCATAATAACAACAACACGATTTCCAATACTTAACATGGAATGAATGAGTAGCAAACCGAGAAAGCCTTCCAAAAACAAGACGGCATTAACCTAAACAGAAAGGTTAAGCCCGGCATCGCCAAGAAGAAGACTTTGCGCCGTTACCGTGATATCGGTTTGGGTTTCAAGACTCCCCGTGATGTAAGTAAACTGTGTGTTTTATTTTTCCTTTTGGATACAGATGTTTGCATTGTTGAATTTAACATTTGAATTTAAATGCTTCTGTTGAAAACCCAAGATCCTATTATTAATTCTTTTGTTTTTGTTCATTTGTTTAGGCTATTGATGGCAACTACATTGACAAGAAATGTCCCTTCACTGGCGATGTAAGAATCCGTGGTCGCATCTTAACCGGTGCTGTACGTAAAACCAAGATGCAACGTACCATTGTCATCCGTCGTGATTACTTGCACTTTGTCCGCAAATACAGCCGTTTTGAAAAACGTCACAGAAACATGAGCGTTCATTGCTCTCCCGCTTTCAGGTTAGTTGTTGTTTATATGATACATATTTTCTATTTCAAAATGATGATAAAATCATGACGGTCTTCATAAACATAATTGCTGAAAAGACTTGATAATTAAACCTAAATCAACTGACAGTAACACCATACCATTTTTATACTCAATGTTTGGAAATATAATTACTAATTGCTTCTTTATTGTTTTTGTTTTACATTTACAGAGATGTTGAGATCGGCGATATTGTTACCATTGGTGAATGTCGTCCCTTGTCCAAGACTGTCCGTTTCAACGTATTGAAGGTCTCCAAGGGTCAAGGCTCCAAGAAGAATTTCAAGAAATTCTAAATTTCTCCAAAGTAGTTTCACATTATTTAGTTTGATGTTCAAACTAAGCTTTGCTTTTACACAAGGATAAAAAATAAAAAAATATTCGTAAATTCAACACCTACTATTTCTTGTTTATTGATGATTGTATTTATAATTTCAACGTGGGATGCTTATCGAACCTCAATGAAAAAGGTAATTATCAATATAATATCGATTGTATTTATTTTATTATCTGATGATAAAATCATGACGGTCTTCATAAACATAATTGCTGAAAAGACTTGATAATTAAACCTAAATCTACTGACAATAAGTTTTAACATAGTTTTTTTATGGATTTCTTTGGAAGTGTTCTTTTCTAATTATTTGCATTTTCTTTTTCTTTCAGATTATTTCAACATTTTTTATCGAGGTTTACAATTGTGAAAGTGGTTATTAGGATTTAGTGGGAATAATATTAAAATTATGAGCGTGGAACTGGACTTAATTAAATTTCTTTCCGCAAAAATATTTTATTATATAGTCGGAAAAGTGCATATTTTACAATTTTCATGCTATTGAAATCGAAGTTCTTATAGGTTTCTATTTTAAAAATGTAGAAAGTTACAGTAAATATCGGATAATCATATTATTCCAATTTTGAATTGGAAAATAATTGCCCTAATTGTAATTCAGAAAATACTACCACATTAATACTTGATAGATTTTGTTTTATATATGTTGTGATTCTTTATGCATTTATAAGATGAAATGGTATAATATAGCTGTCAAACATTATTTGATAGTGATTTTTTCTAGTTTTAGTGGATTTATTTCATTTTCAGCTTAGGAATAAATAATGGCCTCGAAAATACATCTGAGTCTGAAGAAACCTCGAAAAATGGAATATATATACAAAAGGTAATTATTATTTATTTAATGTGCGGACATTATATTTTCATTATGATGATAAAATCATGACGGTCTTCATAAACACAATTGCTGAAAAGACTTGATAACTAAACCTTAATCTACTGACAGAGTTTTCATTAAGACAAAATTTCAGTTTCAAACTTTTCGTATACTCATAACATGTTTTTTTTTCTTGTATTTAAGGTTTTCTAGTTGTGTAAATGTTGGATATTGAATGGAATACTAAGGACGGTGAATTTTATAAACTTTGCGGAAATATTAAAAACAAATGTATTAATCATGATCAATATTTACACAATAAATTAATATGATCCATTAATTACCTTGCTTTTTTTTGGGGCAATTATAATGTAGTAACTACATTAGGACGGAGGATATATTACTACACACTTGAGGCAATGCATTTTGATACGATTATGTCTCATGGAAATACCAGTTTTACATTCCATTTTTTTTTTTTTTTTTGAATAAATGCGTTGCAGACAGACAGCAGAGTTGGTTTGAAATGCGGCATAGTCGTCTGTACTTGATTGCTGTGCTCGATAGTTTAATGTTAAAAATTAGTTCATTATTATATTATAACGGATCATGCCTTTGGTTACCATCAATCGTGTCGTTTTTATATGACAAATCGGTATATGAATACCGTAACAATTTCGTTAGAATTTCCGTTGACAGCGAAGATCAATAAAATTAAAAATTGTTTACGTTATGTTAGAATACGAACTAATTTAAGAATTTGGTTCAATACAATATAAAAAATAGTAAACATATCATTTGTTGTAATTTTGTAACAATGGGCCGAGTCTCAGGTCGTTTCGGATCGTAGATCCATCTGTCATCGTCATCGGAGGACATCCTAGAGCTGAGTAAAGATTATCTGAATGGGTCTACGGGTTGCTGATACCACCACATATTGGAAATTACACAAATCTTTTAAATTCCTTGAAACTGGGGTTTGCAAACTTATAACTCGCGAAATATGAACATATTGCATATAATTTAAATTGATTTCTTTAATATGAAGTGTTCTTGTGAAAATCTTAGAGTATTGGTAATGGGTGGTAATGTAAAAAATGGGTGAAAATGTGTTGAAGCCAACCAGTTTTTTGTATTCTTTCCTGATTTGTGCCTAAACTACACAACGCACGCACATGTGATCAGTGACTAAGTAGAAGAATACCCCTTGGACAATATGGTTCTAATGTATGATTTTTTGATATTATCACTGCATCCACCTAAAACGGAGGCTGACATTTTGAAGCCGGATTTTCGATGTTTTTGAATTTTTCTTATAATCAGGACGCGCAACCAGATAATGTTTTTTTTACGTACTGAATGTACACCTTTTTCAAATGTTATTCCAAACATTTCAATTGCAATTCGAGAATTTTATTTGTAATTCAATTTGCAATTCATAACATTTCAGTTGTAATTCGAGTATTTAATCGGCAATTCACAACAATTCATCTGTAATTTTAAAATTTTCATATGTAATTCAAAAAATTCCATTTGAATTTTTAAGAATTTCATTTGTAATTTGTATATTTTTATTAGAAATTCAATGAATTCAATTTTACTTGTAAATCATAATATTTCAGTTGTAATTCGTAAAAATTCATTTCAAATTCTTAACATTTTATTTCAAATTCGAATAAAATAAATAAATTGAACAATAAGTGGGGTTGATTTTTTTATGTAGTGAAAAATAGTATTAAAAAACAAACTAACATATATATATATATATACATATATACATGACAAATTCATAAAAGATATATATATGCGGGTTTTAAAAGAATGAATAAAAATCAACATTAAGGTCTGTCAATAATCTATATAAATTAAATTTAAATACATACATTAAAGTTCATGATGCAAAAAAGTATAAAGTATATAAAAATATAAAGTATATTACATTAATATGTACATACATTATTACCCACCTTAATGTGTTACACATATTTTGGGTGTTTCTCATAACATTTTTCCAATTTAAAATGAAATGTTATTAATTTTAAATCAAATATTACGAATTTCAATTGAATTTATTTGAAAGTTGGATGGAATTTTATGAATTTCAAATGGAATTTTAGTAATTTCCAATGGAATTTTACGAATTTCAAATGGAATTCTGTGAATTTCAAATGGAATTCTGCGAATTTCGAAAGGTGTTCTATGAATTACAAATGAAATTCTCGAATTACAACTGAAATGTTATGAATTGCAAATGGAATTCTCGAATTGCAAATTGTATGTTATGAATAACAAATGGAATTCTCGAATTACATTTGAAATGTTTTGAATAACATGTGAAAAAGGTGTAGACAAAAACTGTATTCCCTTAACCATACTAAAGAATCAAAAATTAAAAAAAATATTTTGTGGGAATTCAAAAATTAATTTATTTTATTTTCAGACATTTTCATGCTTTTATTTGTCTTTTGCGACTATTAAACCGTATTTCAATGTGATATGACTAGTAAGCAAAGAAAACAAATGTGTTTAACCATTTGTGAAGAAATTCGCGAATTACAAGAAATAGGAATTAATTTAATTTATATTTGAAATACAAAATTTAAAACCGACATAACTTTTGTGCGCAGCATCCGAATTTTTTAATACTAACATATTTTGAATCAGCACATTTTCCTTAACCTATGTACGCAAAAAAAAAATTAATTTTTTTTATGGAATTTTAAAAGAATTTTGTAATTTCCCATATATAGGATATGAATAGAGCGCATTGAAGTCTTTCATTCTTCAAATTGCAATTCCATAGCGTATACGTCACGTTAATCCGGTTCACAAATGCAGTGGATTATTTTTGACGTATCCGCTATGGAATTGACCGAGTGGATTTCGTAAATCTAAACGTACTTTTAGTCGAAATTAAATACGAATTTTGTATTCGATGCAATCAACTAATTTTCATGGATTATATCCAATTTTCGAAATGGAAGGCAACGAGATAATTGGTATGTTCTACTACTTTTTGCTACGATAACGAATTTTCCTTTGTGATATCGAAGAAAATAGTAAAATTTTGTAGATTCTTGCATTACGGTAACAAACCAAAGGTGTAGCATTGAATTTTCTTATATTTTGTGTTTGTTGGGGCCTGAAATCATTAAATGTCATCCCAATTGTACAGTTGTAAATAAAATGGATTTTTTTTTAAATGGGGTTATATAATGTAAAAAAATTGTTAATCTTATCTTGTTTTACTCGATTAATGGCTGAACACATTAACATGCCATGATATTTATGTCGAAGCATGAATTAAAATAACTAAGTCCTAATTTAGATTAGGCGAGTTTACTTGCCGCAAGTCTTTGTTTGCTGGAGAGAGGGGCAAGGGGAATAGAAATGGAAAAAATTGCTCGTACCGACAATTTTCTGGCAATTCGTTTTGTGTATTTGGTTTGTACTGTCATTTCAGAAAAAATAATTCAATTCAGAAAATATATGTTTGCAACCGAATTGCCTTGTATAGACGCATGAAGCAAGTTCAAAAGAGAACGATAAGAATTGCCGCAAGTATACTCGACTAATATAAATCAGGACTAATTGTAATACAAAAACAACATTATTGTTATAGAAAATAAATTTTCAATGCCTAAAATTGAATATTAGGGTTGGTCATAGAACTTTTTCGAAATATATTTCTATATATAGGGGAGAGGGGGGCACTTTTGAACACTCTTTGCTTTCAAGCCTTATAAAATTTTTTATTTATAATTTTTGGTTTCTTAAAAATTTTAACTAATAGGTACATATGTAACATTTAAAAAAATGAATATACATATGACATACTATAAGCTTTATAAATATATATTATTACTGCCCCCCCAGGGGGGCAGCTTTGAACAGGGGTTTTTGAACGACATGGTTTTTTACAGTGTTTATGTTCAAATATGTATGCATTTTATTCATGAAATGCATGAATTCATTAAAAAATATATAAAAAATGTTCAAAAATTTAGATCAAAAGTTATTAAAACATAAAATGACTTAAAAACAAAAATTAATATGGTGAAAAATACAGTTAATTTCGTAACCTTATTAGCCCATTTGAAATTTTGTGAAATCGAAGCCAAAAGTTAAAAACTCCCTTTTTTACTCGAGT